TCTGAAGACAACATCATCCATACGAGGTCTATTTGAATCTGGTTCTCTAAAGATCTTCGTGAAGTGATTCACAACCTCTGCTTTAATCTCTGAAACCCCTTCAATCCAAGTCTCACAAACTCTAAGAGCCGAGATAATGTTTCTTATGCTTTTGCAATTCACAGAAGCATGAAACAATCTAGAATTTGCATTACCGAACTTGAGCCAGTTAGATCGATATCTCTGGCACAATCGAGAGTCTTTGGTTCTAAGGAGGGACCACAACTCAGATAAAGCTATTGATATAGACTTTATCTCATCCCTAGATATCTCACCACCATCAACCAAAAAGTCAATACTACTAACTTCCTCTCTCAACCTATCAATCTGAGAATCAAGGTTACAAAAAACCTCTATATTCCAAGATTTTAGGATAACTTTAAGGGTTTAAAGCTTCTCTAGAAAAATAAAAGCTCCCCAACCATACACCTTAGCAGTGCTCCATAAATTAAAAAAAATAACTCTGGAAGATCACTATGAGCTAACCAATGATTATTAAATCTAAATCGTTTGGGACCCAAAGCTGGTTGATATACTTCAAGATAATATGATAGTGATCAGAGACATCCCTTGGCATAGCCCACTGAGAAACCTCCCCTAGGTATTCCACCACCCATTAAAAAGAAAAATACAATCAATCTTACTAGCCGCCCCGCCTCTTGACTGAAATCAAGTAAACTTTATACCAAAAAGAGGAAGATCCAAAACCTTTAAATAGGAGATAAAATCCGAAAATTTCATGCACTCAGCTCTCTCAGAGGAATTCAAAGAGACTGTCACTCCAACCCTCTTAAGAGAAAAGGAGGTGGAATTTAAATCTCCCATATCACAACAAAGCACACCACTAAAACTAGTTTTCCTGGAGAAAAGATACACCCATAGATCTTTTTATCAACTAACGTACACTTAGAGTGCACATTAATCACAAAACACATGGAGTTCAATGTCCACCACTCTAAAAAAGTACCCAAGTAGTTAGGACCTGAGAAAGAGAACACAAATCTCCCTTTGGAACTACATCGGATCGAAATAAGACCGCCACTATTTCCCACATACGAGGAGAAACTCCAATCACAAAAGTGTTTTCTCTAAAGAGAATGGACAAGAGAAATAGATATTTGAGACATCTTAGTCTCTTAGATTTCTAGGAAATCTAAGGAGGAAGTCCTAATGAGGTTCCTCACTTTATTTTTCTTGAGACTTCCACCCAAACCCCTATAGTTAAACAATTACACTGACATCGAAATGCTCCCTTACACGACATTGCTCTCATTCTAGAGTTATCTCTCTTTTCCGCATCCGTTTTCTTGGAGGACTTATCTCTAGAAACCCATATAGATTCCGATAAAGTATCATACCACTGACAACTTCCATTAAGCACTGTCACTTTGCTTGTCTTTGCAAGTGTTTTACCATTTTCCACAGATACAACAGAAACAAACAACTTGTTCCACCCTTTTGGTACCTGCTAGTATTAGAATTCAATTAGCATTTGCTATTTGCACAACCAGCACTTTCTTATTTGAGTTTATGTGACACTATTTGGAAAACCTTATGGAAAGAGTTTATGCTATGTGTCTAAACTATTTTCACCTTATTTCTCTAAGTTCTCCACAATAGCTTATGAAAATATCTAGCTGTGTGAGTCTATAAATAGATCACACATATTGTAATTCAATTTTGAATTATCTCTATCAATCAGTAATAATATAGAATTCTAACATGGTATCAATAGAAGCACCCCATCAGAATTTTGTTTAATCTTGAACACCCATTTGTAGCCAATAGCACGACATGTTAGGAGAATTGAGTTGAGGATGTGGGAATCTGATTTCATTAAAAAGAACATCCTTGGAAATATAAATTTTTCCATTAAGGGCTAAGCATTTGTATCCTTTGGGAGGTTAATAAGGTCTTAGATGTGGGTAGCAGGCACATCCAAAAGCCTTGAAAAATTTGTAATTAGAAATTTTGTTATAAAGTATGGAGTAAGTTGCAGTGAGACATGCATGATCAAGTATGTCGCAGTGGGACATGCACGATCCCATAACTTCAAAGGTGAGACAACCTTTTTGTAATTGGAGTCCTCATTGTCCATTGTCTGACTTAGTGTTTAGATCTTTGTCATACTTGCAGAGAGACTAGAATGCTTTGTGGTATTGAGGAGTTTGTTGTTTTTCTGAGTTTCACTGTCAGTTCTTGTGTAGTTTATCAGATTTTCTGATGTATGTGGATAAATAGTTATTGTCAAACCTTTTTGAGAAAGATTATATTAGTGACCATTTAACATGGTCCATTAATAAACGAAATAACATGATTTACTCAAGGATTGATAGGGTGCTGGGCAATACTAGATGGCAATAGCAAAACACGGACACCATCCACTCTATTATGAACCATGGTGTTTCTGACCATGCTCTGTTGTGTCTGCAGGAATTTGGTCCCAGAAGAGCGATTAGAGCTCCCTTCAAATTCCAAAATATAGTTACTACCAAGGAGGACTATAATGATAAGGTTAGGCAAAGCTGGAATGATATTCTTGTGGGAAGCCCTATGTTTATTATGTGGAAAAAGTTACAGAGGCTCCAACCTGTGATCAGAAGCTGGAATTATAGCTTACAAGTTGTATTTTAACAACACGAGCAGGGTTGCAATATTCATTAGCACATAAAGATGCCAAGATTCAATTTATATTTATATAGAGAAAATGAAATAATTCCACAACAAAGTACTAGTCAAGTAAAATATAATCTTCTCAGAACTCAAGTTTGATAACTGACATAATCAACAAAAAATCACAAAATTAAAGTTCTTAAAAATTAAAATCATCCTGACATCATTAACATGACAATGCAAGAATCTAAAACAGTGAGGCGGGTTGATGCTGATCCATCAGCAATCCTGCGACACCGTGAAAGGACACTCTACTCTTCAGTGATACTGCAACACCAAAGAAGAGGGCAAAGTGATGAGAACTAATGCCAAAACAAGCACAGATAATTAGAAATTTGGAAATCTACATTAGAAAGTAGAAAAGCATATCAGAATATTCACCTTAATGAAACCAATTTCCTTGGCATTGCTATGGAAGCACTGCCTGCAACACATGAGCCCGTACTTCCTGATCAATCCATGAGAGTTTCCACACACTCGGCTGCAAAACAGGGGACAACAGTAAACAGCAAACTATAACTAAGAAATTCCCAAGGAAATATACCAATAACTAATCTATACTCGTCTTATCAGTTATTACACAAAACTTGGAAATTTATAACAAAAAGACTTAGCTTTATAGTACATACAAACATTAAAATTAATAATAGAGCAAGATGATTCTTCAAAAGGTGTATAATTAAAGGTAGCAGAGCCCCTTTTTCCAAATTAAGACTCACAATGCAAGAAAAGAACAACAAAAAGAACAGAATATTCATTTGACCATAGAAAGACACTTGTATGGCTAACAATATATACTCTACCAGAAAGCTTAGCCACATCAAATTGACAAATGCAATTATTTCAGGAGTTGAAAGGGGTCTTCTACTAGTTGAAAGAATGTATTTAAAAAATTATAGCTGCATCTAAATCCTAAAGAGTTTCAAATGACATGAGTCACGATTCAGTGTACTCCCTATAACAATTAAACAATATAAATTTGAAAAATCAATTTGAACCCCATCAATAAACTACAACGTAACAAAACTAATCTCAAACGCTAAAGCATCCACTTAGATTCCCCTTATGGATTTGTATTTCGTGTATGAGGGGGACCAAACAAAAAGTGATTGAAAAAACTTTGTCCATAAATGAATTTCTTTAATCCAAAACTCTTAACATTTGAGGCACCTGTTGCGTTAGAGTTTCCTTTCAATAGAGCTTCTTTAAAAAATACCTTGTTGACCACAGGATAGTCGGCACAAGGTTGCAAAAAGAGATTCAAAGACTTTTTCTTCTTATGATGAACACGAAGGTTCCTCCTCTCACCCATCGGATTTCTGTCATATTTAGAAAACAAAGCCAAGTGACTTTCAGTCATACACTATTAAGATCAGAAACAAGCCTAACCAAGTTCTTAACTTCGAAGAATCTGAAAAAGCCAAATCTATCATCATTTTTATTCCTTTTGTTTGGAATGGAAACTTCCTCAACCACAACAAAAAAAACTTAAATTTAGCCTTCAACTTAATAAGAGAAATATGATCAGAGAAATTAGAAAAGTAGAAGGAAAAAATATCCTTCTTACTCTCCATGAGCAAAATGCAGAGAGATGCAATGGATGATTTATCAGAAATGATTAAAAATGTATGCAGATTTGTTAATGATATGCAGGAAAAATGCGAGAGTGAGAGATAACATTCTCAATCCCCCAACAAAACAGATGCAAGTGTTATTACTCTTAGGTCGAGTAACAATATCGCATTTAATAGCATGGTTTCTCCCTCCCATATGTCAATGCCTCTAGATAAAACATCTCTAAATGACTTGCATTTCAATAATTAGGAATTAGGAACAGCATTAAGGGTGTTCAAATCTAAATTTATCCTGATAAAAACTGTAAATCGATCTAAAAAAATTGAAAATCCCAAAAAACTGATAATATTGAATGAATTTGGATGTCATTTTGAAAAATTACTCGATTTGGATCAAATTTTAGATTGATTTTCAAAACTGATTCAAATCGAATAGAACCGCAAATATACATTTCTATAATTATTTTTTATTTTCTTTTATAGATCCCTTTCAAATATTAAGATAGATTAAGTAATCTTTTTATCATCATACCTCTAATTATGTTAGATTTTTTAAAGATTTATAATAAATTCTGATCTATGTATTCACTTGCTAACAACCACTAAAATGCTAAAATAAAATTTGCATAAGCAGTAACTGGGAAGACAGAGGTTAAAGTAGACTAGACACACTAAATCAGAGGCCTTCAAAATCGAATTAGTGGAAACCAGATTCTATTCTTGAGCATGCTGGCCTGAATGCTTTGCCATTAGATCTCTGATCAAGACTAGAATCTCCGCTCGCATGCAGTCAACAGCAGATGGAGTAACCTGTTCCTTGACGACAGAGAACCACAAATCATTTGCATCAGTCTTTATACTATTTACACGCCAATCGCATATCGCTCTTGCTATGGCTGTGACATATAAGCCACAGTCATAACCATTCACTTGCCTAGGCGAATCAGTGCATTCAAGAAAGCGGACCTCAGATCCCGATTCAGATAACCCCACATATCCAACAACAGCTTTATAGAGTTTCTTAGCAGGTTCTGAGTTTAAGCTTCTGCAGCTATCATGGTGAACAAATAGATTCACGTTGCGGTAGTATGCAAGTAAGCTCCAATGAGATCCACCTTCCGCTGTGTTAACATCTTCATTGTTATTGACGGGAAATAAAACGAGTTCCTTTTCAGACAAATGAAGGGGCTCTAAGAAATCTTTCAAAGCCTCAGCAAAAGGACATTGTAGTATCCAAAACGCAATGGATGGTGGAACCAACAAGATATCCTGAGGGGGATGCGATGACGAAAGGTAACTTAGATAAAACTCGATAATCCGATCGTTCAAATAATATGGACCACTGAGAATGTCTAGATCAGATCGTCTAAGCACCACATCATTGTAGCCGAGAATCTTCTCATCAGCGCCCGATTTCCCCATCTTGCGAAGAGGCTAGCCTGAAGAAAACAATTGGCGACAGAGAGCCGGACTATAGTTGTAAGTTAGGGGTTTTTTAATTTTCAATTTTAATTATTGTTTTATGAATATTTTCTATAAAAAAATGTTAAATACATTCATTAATTTAAATAATATGTTAATAAATATTTAAATAACATATTAATAAATATTAAAATTTATGCAAATATTTAAATACATATTTAATTTATGTAAATATTCAATTTATGCAAATATTAAAATACATGTTTAAATAGTAATAACATTAAGTTTGTTATTAAAACTATAAATATTTTAATTATTTATTAAGAAATATTTGTCAATAAATTATGTTGTTTGTTTTTCATAATAAATAGAAATATAAAAAATATTAAAATATATTAATTTACAATATAATGAAAATTACAACAACAAAAAAAAATTAATGGTCGACTCTATCCAAGCGACCACCGGTGCCACACAGCGGAGGATGCACGTTGCGACGAGGTCTACGGCGAGGTTGTTGTGGTGTGTCTGGTCGTTGTGTGTTGAGTTGTGGGGGAGGGTTTTGTTGGGACTGCCCAGGTGTATCAGATAGATTTTTCAGCATTTGACCCCAATAGCCGGGAGCTTCACTATCAACGGCGCTGCCGTAGTTTAGCCTAATGCCCATGTTTTCGTAGGATTGTCGGGGAGGTTGGGTGGAGTATGGACGGTATGGTTGTCCGAGTTCGTACATCGAATTGGGTTGGAAATGGTGCGTTGGTTGTTGTGGGGTGTGGTAGTCAAATAGTGGATAGTTGGAAGGGTAGTTGGAGGGGTAGTTGGAGGGGGTAGGGTCAAATGAGTTGTCTGGGCTATAGGTGGAGGGGGTAGGCTCAAAAGACGTATCATGGATATAATGGTATGGTGGTTGAGGCTGGGACTGGGTGGGTGGTGTAACAGTCCAATTTTCAATAATTAATTATTTGTGTTAATTAATTGGTTTATTTGGAATATTCTAATTATTTGAATAATTAGATGATTGTTTAAATGGATTGATAGATGTTTTGAGAGAGGGAATAAATTGGAGAGAAACCGAAGGGAAGGATATAAGAAGGGGGAGCGGAACGAAAATGTAAAATAGAAAACATGAAAGAAAAGTGGAGGAAGAAGAGAAAGTAGAAGGAAAAAGAAGGAAAAGCTTGGAAAGCTCAAGAACGACTTCTAGCTTCCGATTAATCGAGGTAAGGGTGAGAAGCACTGTTATCTTAATCAATGTGTATGATTATGTATGTGTGTGTTTGGATTTGTTGGGTGTTTCCTACATTTTCTATTTTAGGTCAAAATGAGTTTAATCGGTAGAAACCGAGTTTGAACGGGTAGAATCTGAAATTGACGGTGTAATATAGTCGGGTGATGAGTGGGTCGTGCTACTGGAACTGATTTGGATTAAATCGGTCGGTTTGTGAGGTTTGGGCTTTTGGACAGCCATGGGAGTTCTGAGTTCGCAGGTTCGTCAGGCGAATGGCAGCGAAGCTTCGCCGGGCGAAGCCCAACGAGTAGCAGTGAACCAAGTCAGAAGCATCCACCCTGTCTTTGCTGGCAAGTTCGCCAGGCGAATGAGAGTGGCGAAGGTTCGCCAGGCGAATGAGAGTGGCGAAGGTTCGCCAGGCGAGTGTGCTAGCGAGTAATTCCAGAATAACTCCCAGTGGTCTTCGTTGGCAAGTTCGCCAGGCAAACGAAGTAGCGAAGGTTCACCAGAGGCTTCGCTAGGCGAAGGTTCACCAGAGGCTTCGCTAGGCGAAGGTTCACCAGAGGCTTCGCTAGGCGAAGGTCAGCGAATGTGACATCATTTGTTTTATTTTGGTTGGTTCCATCCAATGTTGATGTATTTGATATAATTATGTAGCGTATAGCCTGTGCGCTGTTATATGTTGTGCTGTGGGTAGCCGTATGGCGTGAATCCTAGATTATGAATCGATTATGAATATGTGGCCTTTTGGCATATGTGATACATTGTTTAAATTGATCGAAATTCATGATTAATGTGATTGAGTTGTTGCCGTTTGGCACGATATTTGTAAGTGTATATTGCTTGTATGCGATGGTGGGTGACGAATGCATGAGAATATATATGGCGAGTACATGTGTATTGTTTGGTAATGTAAGAATGGTGTGGGAAATGTGTATATGCATTGAGTCGTACTCACTGGGGTAGAATGGCAAGTTGTCGGTCCTAGAGGAGTAATAGTAATCACTGGGGTAGAATAATAGGATGTTATTCCTAATGAGGTATAGTGTCGTGGTTGTATACACCGGGGTAGGATGACTAAGATGTCGTTGCTGGTGGAATAATTACCGGGGTAGAATAACTGAGATGTTGTTCTTGGTAGGGTATAAGTGATGTACCCATACTCCCAAAGAGGGATTGGTGTTAATTGATGAGTTTTATATGAGCCATATGGCATAAATATCATTGTTGTATGAAGGATGTTGATGTGTATGAATTGTTGAATTGTGAGTTATAAATGTGAATCTAGAATGAAGCGATATGAGATGAATGATGAACATATGTATATATGCATTGTGATATATATATATATATATATATATATATATATATATATATATATATATATATATATATATATATATATATATATATATATATATATATATATATATATATATATATATATATATATATATATATATATATATATATATATATATATATATATATATATATATATATATATATATATATATATATCTATTGCGAATGCATATTGAATACACGTGCTGGTATGTGATGTATGATGATTGTAAATGTGAACCATGTTTGAATAGTGTGAATGAAATGATGAATATATGTATATATTGCGATATGTATATATTGTGAGTGCATAATGAATATATGTGATTAATGTGATGAATGCATGAGTGTGTTTGTAAACATGCGTGCAAAGAGTGTCATGAGTCATGTTGCATGTGAAGCATCATGGTATGCATTCTTGTGTTGATTGATTCCTCGGTGAATCTGCAGAACCTCGTGAGCCCTTGTGGGGTGTGAGCGATGGTTATTTATTGATTCCTCGGTGAATCTGCAGAACCTCGTGTGCCCTTGTGGGGTGTGAGCGATGGTTATTTATTGATTCCTCGGTGAATCTGCAGAACCTCGTGTGCCCTTGTGGGGTGTGAGCGATGGTTATTTATTGATTCCTCGGTGAATCTACAGAACCTCGTGTGCCCTTGTGGGGTGTGAGCGATGGTTATTTATTGATCCCTCGGTGGATTTGCAGAACCTCGCATGTTGCGATGGTTATATTTGATTCTGCGTAGAATCTGCAGAACCTCGTGTGCCCTTGTGGGGTGTGAGCGATGGTTATTTTTGGTTCTTCAATTGAACCTGCTGAAATGAGTCGGTACCGCATTTGCATATGCATAGAGTCGTGTGTCGGTCTCTATGAGTTGCATGTTATCATCTTTATATGGTGCATTGGTGAATTAAACATGAATGTGAATGTTTATGTGAATTGGTGATGAAATGAACATATTTTGTATGTTTATATGGATTGATTGGAATTGTGGATGTACGCATGTTAAATATGCTTGATGATTATCCATATTTGTTTATATGTAGATAATGATGTATACGAGTGAATCGTGAATGTATGCATGATGAGATTCTTAGTTATATATATATATATATATATATATATATATATATATATATATATATATATATATATATATATATATATATATATATATATATATATATATATATATATATATATATATATATATATATATATATATATATATATATATATATATATATATATATATATATATATATATATATATATATATATATATATATATATATATATATATATATATATATATATATATATATATATATATATATATATATATATATATATATATATATATATATATATTGTTCTGGACTGGGCTGAGGCTTAGCCCACAATCGAGAAGGCCCAAAATCCCACTAAGGTTGGGCCCAATTGGACCACACTGATGAGCAGGGACCCATGGGCAGGTGCCCATCCCGTGGGCAGAACCTGTGCCCATCCTGTCGGGCAGAACCTGTGCCCATCCCGTCAGGGCAGAACCTCCTCCCGTCAGGCAGGTGCCCATCCTGACGAGCAGAACCTGTGCCCATCCTGACGAGCAGAACCTGTGCCCAGCCCCTCAGGGCAGAACCTCCTCCCGTCAGGCAGGTGCCCATCCTGACGAGCAGAACCTGTGCCCATCCTGACGAGCAGAACCTGTGCCCAGCCCGTCAGGGCAGAACCTCCTCCCGTCAGGCAGGTGCCCATCCTGACGAGCAGAACCTGTGCCCATCCTGTCGGGCAGAACCTGTGCCCATCCCGTCAGGGCAGAACCTCCTCCCGTCAGGCAGGTGCCCATCCTGACGGGCAGAACCTGTGCCCATCCTGTCGGGCAGAGCCTGTGCCCATCCCGTCAGGGCAGAACCTCCCCTCCGCGGGGAGAATAACGTGCTCGGCGCACGTTCTCCACGTGCTCCCCTCCGCGGGGACACGTCACCGACCAACTGCCCACCTCCGAAAGAGCAGGTCAAACCCACTCTCCGGAGATCTAGGAGCGGTTGAACTAGGGCGAAGACCACGTCCTGGTCTTCACTACGCCACGTAAGCCCTAGCAGTCATTAGGGTTGGGCCTGGTCATCCAGCCCACCTCGAATGACCGTTGGCCCAGCGCTGGGGTCTCTCTATAAATACCCTCTTCCCCAAGAGGGCCAGGTAATTCACCTCTTCTAACTTTCTGTTCTTGCTCTCACTCTGCCCAAATTCTGACTTTGGCATCGGAGTGCCTTGCAGGTACACCCCCTCCTCATCCTCCCCACCGGTGAACAGGAAGCAGCCTAACGGAGCGTGGCCATCCAGTGATCCCCTCCTGATCAGGTCAGATCAGTGGCGCCGTCTGTGGGAAACTAAGCTCCCCCGTTCCTCCGAGCAGAGAACCAAAGC